TGAGGACCAGGTTTGCTGGTCCAACAGAGCCTGGTGGAACCACTGAGACTATGGCCCCTAGCTGCCCTTCAGGTCTGGAATTGAACCCACACCTGTGGTTGCCAGCCAAACAATGTACAGGCATGTGAATTAAACATTTACCTCAAGTAGACACACGCCCTAGAGAGAACAATCATGGGAGAATGAAGGGCTGCTTATGCACAGTGAGACAGCTCAGGGCGCAGGCGAGTACGGAGGGATGGTCACTGGGAAGAGGTGACTATGGGGAGGAAGAGGGAGGGGAGCTGTTGCATTGTGGTAAACTGTGGTCAATGCCATGAGACAAAGTATATGTGAACTGCTGTATGAAAAGTGAATTTGCTCTGTAAATCTTCACCCAAATAAAAATAAATAAATTAAAAAAAAATATTTCAAAACAACTTATGAACTGATTTAATGGATCAATTCTAAAATTCTTATAATCAATAGAAACTTTCAAGAAATGACATGTCTCAGATAAATCAATAATAACCTGATTGCATTGTTTATGAAAATCTCTTAGGATTGGGGACTGATTTGCTATACGGAATAGATTTTATGTCAGTTGAGTACCCATTACGTACCACCCATTGTGGCTGACATTTTACATACTTTATCCCACGTAATACACTGAAATGTAAGGTTTCTCATTTGCATTTTACAGAAAAGGAAAACAGAGATCTGACAGATGAAGTAAACCTGCCAACACGGTAGAACTTTAAACTGAAGTCTGCCTATGTTTTTCTTAGATGCCTTCAAATTGGTTCCAACTCACAGTGACCCAATGTACAATAAAACAAAATACTGCCCAATGCCACATGATCCTCACGATCATTAGTATGTTTGAGCCCACTGTTGCATCCTCTGTGTCAGTCCATCTTGTTGAGGGTCTTGCTGTTTTTTTGTTGACCCTCCACAATACCAAGCATCAGGTCCTTTTCCAAGGACTTGTTTTTTCTGATAACATGTCCAAAGTACATGAGACCAAGTCTTGCCATCCTCCCTTGTAAGGAGCATTCTGACTATACTTCTAAAACAGTTTGTTCATTCTTCTGGCAGTCCATTGTGTATTTAATATTCTTCATTAACACCGTAATTCAAAGGCATCAATTATTCTTCAGTTTTCCTTATTCACTGTCCAACTTTTGCATACGTAGGAGGGCAACTGAAAATACCATAGCTAGGGTCAGGTTCACCTTAGTCTTCAAAGTGACATCTTTGCTTTTTAAAAATTTAAAGAAGTCTTTTACAGCAGATTTGTCCAGTGCAATATGTCATTTGATTTCTCTCTTTTTTTTTTTCCTGATTTCCTTTTCAGAGTTCTCTTTGTTAGTGTTGAGAAATGTGACAGATATTTCTGTGTTGATCTTGTTCCTTGCCACTTAGCTGAAGCCTTCTATTATTTCCAGCAGTTTTCTTTTCTTTTTCCTTTTTTTATTTATTGTGATTTGGGTGAAGATTTACAGAGCAAATTCACTTTCTATACAACAGTTCACATATACTTTGTCTCATGTCATTGGCCAC